GTTGTGCATAGAGACTTAATTTAGCATCGGTCTGTAATGTTACGTTTCACATATACTGTCATTGTGACGTGTTTCGTGTGAAAAATGTTTTCAGCTATACAGTCCAGTTAAATTATCGATGGATTTTAGTCAGTCAGCACTTTACTTGCTTTGCAAAGTAGATGAGAACAAGACATTCGTAATGTTTCAACAGTAATCAGCCCTGTTCTGTCTTAGAGTCGTTCCCTAACTTAAAAGGCAGATTAATAAAAAGAATAAAATTAAGCTGAGACTTATTGTGTCACTTTTTTAAATGGCAGAGCTCAGTCTGTCTTAGAAGGCAGTGCTTTCATTCAACACTGACGATGTTTGTTTTCTACTTTAGGTCGCCAATGAAATGTAAAATATTAGCAAATATAGGTCATATGTTGAGACTTTAAAGGAGATTTGATTCTTAAGAAGCGGGTGCGATACAGTTTGTCCGATTGGTGTTGCCATATGTTGACTTCATAAGAAAGGGCGGGACCCGGGTTCCTACACCGGCATGGTGTGGTGGTGAGTGGTTGATCTTATTGTGAATTGAAGCAAGTAGTCAACGAGCAACTGATCTCACTATGTTCCAGATCACTGAATCACTTTTAGAGGCGTCTGATTCTACTATAAAAATGAGATAAATTACAGTGAGATCCAGATGAATCAAATCTGTATTTAGAATGAAATTGGACAGTTATCAGTGTTAACATCAGTTAAATGTTACTGGTGTGATTATATACCAGACCTCGACCCCATTGGATGGGAGTCGAGGTCCCGTCCAATGATTGACACATGAAGAAAAAAAAAAGACAATGTTTGATTTTGTTAGCCACCTGTTAGCTTTCTGCTTTGATGCACAAATGGATCTGCAGGGGGAAATATTTTCCACCCTCCCTTTTTGCTAAAATGAGATTTCTAGCTGTCTTAACTCTTTATAGGGCACTCGATGAAATACTTTGAAAATCAAAACTTTAAGCCAATAGTGTTATTGGAATCCAGGACAAGACTTTATTACATTTGTAACATTGCAAATATATGGGTATTTCTGATGGATTAAAATGAATGTCAATGTAATAACAAGAAACGCCAACTTGCCCGAAAATATTAAGAAAAATAACAAAAGGGCTTCGATAAGAAATACATGAAAAACACTCTTGAGAGGCAAAGAAATGCATTTCTTTGGTACAACATAACCTTAGAGGCATTAATGCTGGTACTGGTGCTTACAGTTCTTTAGTTGATAAACCTGAATATAATTGTTAACTTTACTGTTTAACTTTACAATTAGCTTTTTACAGTTTTTCTGGACTTGTTAATTTTAAATTTTTTTTCAGGTTAATTTCCAGTAGGTAAAATATCATTCAAGGGTTCCTCTAATTGGTCAAATGCCAAAATAAGATGTTCAGCCATGTAGCAGCATCTTTGCTGAATGGCTGACATAGATCTTGTGCTTCTAGACCTCACTAAGGGACGGGGGGGGGGGTGTATGCAAGTGATCAAAAACGGTAACTTTCCCTATGAAGGGGTAATGTCGTTTGGTAATTTCCAACCACTTTAAGTCGGTTAAGTCTTAAAGCCGTTTTCCAAAGAGCTTTAGAGTCCAGTACTGTAGCAGAGGAAGCGTGGTGCGTTTTTAGTCCCGTATTCTAAGCTTTTATTCTGTGAGGGATGGAATAAAACCAACCTTTTAAGACCGCTTTTTTTTTTTTTATAAGAAAAGTTAAGCTGATGCTCTGTGTTCTTTGATGGTGTGCTTGTTGGGTTCACATGTGTTTAGAACACTACAGTAACGTACGTGTGTGTGTATATATTTTCTTTCTTCTGTCTAGTCATCGTGATCCAGCTCAGTCCTGCTCCAGCCCCCTCCCAGCGTGCAGGTATCATTCAATCCATCGCTCCTCATGCCACTGCACCTCCTAACATCTCTGTGCCCTGGTTTATTCTTCCTCTCTCCTTCTTCTTCTTCTTCTCTACTTCAGATGGTTGTTTATTGATATAATACCACCTATAACACCCGAGGGAGGTAGACGGAGGTTAGGAAGGAAGGCCTCTATTTAATTATACATTTACTTTCTCTTGCTCTGTGAAGCCCAAAAGCTAACAGGAGCTAATTTATCTTTGTAATGCATTGACATTTATATGATCGTTGTTTATCTTCTATATCTGATGGTTGGAAAAAA